TTGAATAATAATTTTTTTCTTTCTTGTTTAAATATTGATAAATAATAATAATAATAATAATAAATCACGTGTTTATTTTTATTTCTTTTTTTTTTTTTTTTGTTCGTAGAGTTTTTATAATTTTTAATAAATAACAATATTTATTTATTTAAATAAGGCGATAATTTATTAATTTATTAAAAAAAAAAGTTTTATCCTCTCTCTTTCTCTCTCTCTCTCTCTTTTACTTAATTTTATGTTTACTTTATCCGTAATTTTTTTATAAACAAAAAAGAATTTTTCCGTTGAAAAAAAAACAAAAAAACGTAAATAATTCATTACGATTTCGATAAGCTTATTTAAAAAAGTCGTAATAATTATTTATACTGGTGAATTCTTCTTTCTTTCGTTTTTTCTTTTTTAAAAATAATAATAATAATAATCGAAGAAAACAAAGAAAGAGAGAGAGAGAGAGAGGGAAAAAGGGGAAAGTACATAAACTAAGAAATTGTTCAAGAGGATGAAATATTAAAGGAAGTAATTCAAAAACGTCAAAAATATTTCCTCTTTCCTGCCTGCCTGCCTTCTTTTACTTAAAAAAAAAAAAATCTTCAAAACATTTCCTCCTACCAACTCTTAACTCTTTTCCTTTTTTTCCTTTCCTTTTTTTTCTATCCATTGGAAATGTTAACTTTATATTTATGTTTGTTATAATTTTTAAATTATTATACGCGTAATAATAAATAAATTGAAAATGTTTTAATTGATTTCGATTCTAAAAACCGGAAATTACAACTACGTTTCTATTTATTATTATTATTATTACTTATTATTATTATTATTATTATTATTATTATTATTATTATTATTATTATCATCGTACGTTTTTTTTTACGACTGAGAAAAATAATAATTTATAATAAACTGCGTAAAGGGTAAAAGAAACAAAAAAATAAAAATAATAATTTTTTTACAAGACCGGCAAGAAGCCAATTTTACAAAAAAAAAAAAAAGTAAATAATCAGTCGGTTGGTAGCACTGAATGGTAAATTAACTAATTAGAAAAGTTAAGGGAAAATAAAACAAATTGTTTTTTTCCTTCTCCTTTTCTTTTTCTCATTAAAAAAAAAAAAAAATTTCGTTAAAATTTAAACATCGGAGACATTTTTTTTTTTTTCCCCCCCCTTGAAGTAATAATAATGATGATGATGATGATGATGATGGTAAAATTTTTGTATTTTTTTTCGCAAATAATTAAATTTAATTAAAAAAAAACATATTATTATTATTTTCGTCCATCACATTAATGGAAGCGACGACGACGACGATGGAAAATTTTTTTTTTTTTTTGTCGTATTCATTTAAATGTTAGCAACAACAGCAACCCATTTTTTATTAACAAAAAACCACGAAAAAAAAATTAAAAAAATGATTCTCATAAATCAGACAATATATAAAAAAAAAATTTTTTTTTTTTCCTCCGAGGTTTTCTCTTTTTAAAAAAAAAATAAATAAATAAAATTAATGATTTCGAATGTGTTGTTGTTGATTTATTAACAACAAAACATTTTATAGCTTAACGTTTTTCCCCTCCCCTCCTCCTCCCCTTCCTCCTCCTTACCCTGCCATTTTCGCCATTAAAAATAAAATTAAAAGTGTAAAATGGTAATAAAGAAAATTATTATTATTATTATTATTATTAAAAAACGAAAATGTTTCGCATACGTAACAACCGATTATGAAAGAGACGAAATAATCGATACGATCGATCGATCGATCAATCAATCACGTAAAACATTTTACGAAAAAAAAAAAAAAAACTCGAAATAATTTAATAAAATAGAAAAACTAGTAGTATAAATAATAATAATGATATAAAAGTTAAAAAATTTAGTTTGTATATTATTTATATAAGGAAAAAAGCGACAAACGAAAAAACCACTAAAAATCAAAATGGTGGATCGAAACCGCCAAACTTAAAACCCAAAAATTTAATTGAAAATCAAATTATTATTTATAATAATTTTACACACCGAGATAATTAATTTTCCGTCTCCTTACATTAAAATTTTTTTTTTTAATTTTATTTTTAATTATTTATATATTACACGAAAAATAATCCGCTTTATTATTATTATTATTATGTAAGAAAAAGGCGCGAAAAAAAATTTAAATTTTTTTAATTTTTCTTATTGCCGGAGATTTTTCGTTCGACACGGAATAATTATATAGGTTTTTAATAAATTGTTTTTTTCTATCACGTGATTAATACCCACGCGTCGTCTGCTTAAAATCAAATTATTTATACGTGTATAAATAATAACCGAAATTTAAAATAATTTAAAAGAAAAAGCAAACGAGAGATTTTTACTTTAAAAAAAAAAAAAATTGTTGTTTACATTTAAATTTTCCATGTGAAATCGTACGTGATTTTTTTTCATATTTGTTTTACTTTTATTTCCTCCTCTTCCTCCTCCTCTTTCCCCCTTTTTCCCTTTTTTCCCACAGGGGTTCGAATCATTAATTTTTATTTAATAAAAAAAAAAATTATGTATGAATTACGTACGTTAAATTTTATTAAATTTAATTAAATAATTTTTCAAAAAGTGAAGTGAAACGCATCGATGACGTCATCACGAACCGCAATTTTTTTAGTTTTAATTTCGAAAGCAGAAGACGAGAACGACGACGACGCGTTAAAAAAAAAATAAAAAATAAAAATCGTTTCAATATAAAAAAAAAAAAAAAATAAACTCCGGAGAGCCTCCCCAGCAAATATTTTACATTAAA